CTACAGACAGGCACCTCCAAAATCCTCATAACTCTTCTTAGTGTTCTGTTCTCTTTTGGAAGAGTACCTAGTCCGAAGCCCAAAAAAGGACTTCGGACTAGGTAGTCCGTCCAAAATAGAGTGTCTTCAAATGGGCAACTACCATATCTTTCCATTTATAAGATGACCCAAAGTATAAAACTACCTCCCCTTTTCTAGCCCCAAATGAGAAAATTTGATTCCTGCTTTTCCCTTCCTTTTGCTAAGCCACGGAGCTTAGCAAAAGGAAGGGGAAAGCAGGGATCAAAGGACTCCCTTTGACTGCCTCTTTTCCCTTCCCTTTTTGCTAAGCCCTGTGGCTTCCCAAAAGGCAGGAAAAAGTGGCGGTCACTTTGACAGCCACTTTTCCCTGCCTTTTCCGAGCCACGGAGCTTAGCAAAATGAAGGGAAAGGGGGTGGTCAAAGGGCTCCAGCGGTGGAGGCAGCAGGAGGAGGAGGCAGAGACTGAGGCAAAGAAGCAGCCCAGCTCGGCCACCTCTCGCTGCTGCCCATTGACTGCTGCTTCCGCCACCCAATCACAAGGAGATGATTGCTGGAGGGGGCTACTGGGCCTCAGTCTCCGCCTCCTGCTGCTGCCTTCCATGTATAAAACGACCCTCAATTTTTCCTCTAATTGTTTTAGGGGAAAGTGTCATTTTAAATGCTGTAAGCCACCCAGAGACCTTTGGGTAGTGTGGGCGGCATATAAATTAACGGAAAAATACAGTATCTCCTTAAAATGGTGAATGGCCACACTTGCCAGGTGCCATAAACCAGTTTAGGACCCTGATGTTTATAGCCCTTGGTTTTGGTCCTAGTCCCAGATCCTGGAATTATTATTGCAAAATTTTTCATGTTAGCATTTCATTTTTATTTAAAATACCGTTTGAAACATGTTACCTATTGCTACTGAGTACCAAATAAGGTTAACTGTTTCCACTGCAGCCATGAGTCCATCAAATACAGTGGTGCCTCGCATTACGATGTTAATTCGTTCCAGCGAAATCACTGTAGAATGAAAACGTCGTAATGCAAAAATAAAAAGCCCATTGAAATGCATTGAAACCCCTTCAATGCATTCCAATGGGCTGGACACTCACCATCCAGTGAAGATCCTCCATAGGACGGCCATTTTCGGTGCCTGCGCAGCGAGGAATCCGTCCCAGAAAACAGCGGGAGCCATTTTATTTACCCGACAGCCATTTTGAAACCACCGATCAGCTGGAGGAAAATCATCATTTTGCGAAGAATCAGTTCCCAAAGCAGGGAACCGATCATCACAAAGCGAAAAAACCCATTCAGACCATCGTTTTGTGATCGCAATTGCGATTGCAAAAAGATCATCGTAATGCGGTTTCATCATAATGCGGGGCAATCGTAATGCGAGGCACCACTGTATTTTCCTCTGTGGAACAGCCAGGCTTAGAAGAGAAAAGTTCCCATTAGCTTCAAGATGACTCTTCCCCCATTCCAAAGCCTCATAGCTGTGGTCATAGCCATAAAGGGAAAGGTTAAATGCCCCTTCCTTACATTCAGGGTGTTGATGAAAATTATTAAATTAAGAAACAAAGTGAATATAGCTTTAAAGTATGCATTTAGCAGCCTGTATAATTTAACCCTCAATGGATGCATACCTGAGTCTGCTATTAAACACAGTGATACTTGACCAAATGAGACACACAGTTATCAGTATTTGTCAGTATCCGGCAGTAAATGTGCAGCGAAAATAATATTTGACCACTGACATTTAGCAGAACTATATGGACTTTTATATTAACCCCATCAACCCAACAATGCAATAAAAACAAGCTTATATCATGGTTTAAAGTCAGAATTGAAATATCAACATGAAATTCTAAATTTTGAAATGGAAGAGTTCAGCAGATTTTGAAATGTTGCAAAATCATAGTTTAGCTGTATTAAAAAGAAGTAACACCATCCTTGCTTTGCTGGCAAAGATGAGAAGAATTCCTAAGTCTTGATTGCATGTCAGGTCTTGAATCCCACCTGCATTTTCTTCCCCTCCTTGTTGTTTATTATTTATTATTATTTCTTTTATTTATATCCTGCCTATCTAGTCAATTAAGACCACTCTAGGCGGCTCTGAGAATTTCCAGAGGAGGGTTGTGGAAATTTCAGTTCTCAGTGTTCCTACTTATGCTATGTTATTTCTGAATATTTCACTTACTTACACATAACCGAAGAACCTGGTAATGTCTACAAGTCTGCCTCCACTTTTGTAAACTGGGCTTTTTGGAGGAGGGATGCTAAATGGATGAAGAGGTCCTGTTACATATTTAAAATATGAATTGCTATTCCTGGGAGGTTCCAGAAGCAACGATTCACTTATTTGTTTTGTATTTTGCTGAGAAAAGATGAGGTCAGGGAAGAGGTGGAGGCTGTCAAAGCAGGCTTTATTGGCCTACACATGGCCCACCCCTACTCAGAGTGACCCCCAGACTTGGGAAAGGGAATTGAAAACCCGTAGGCCCAATCCAGCATATGATTAGTCCCAATGCAACACACCAAAATTTTGGGGTGCCCTCTCTTCCTGGGATTCCACCCTACTCACCTTCCCAATTAGGAACAAAGTATTGCAGAGTTTTGAATTTCTGGTAAAAATTTATTGTGCTGCACAATAGAAATACAGACTCACAGAAGAGAATAGATTCAAGTTCAACAGATATCCCACCCTTTTCTCATTACCTGGCACTTACAGTGTCAGTAATTCTCTTTGAGGCATTAGTAGTAGAAATAATTAAAATGTTTCATTACTTGCAGTTGACTGACTTATCCCTGCTCCAATTGTCCCCTGCAGAATCGTAGTTGTGCCTCTCCAAAGCTTATGAATGTATGGTTTAAGTCATACATTTGTAGTTCTTATTAGTCTGCTCTAGGGTTCCATGGAATAACTCCCCCTGCTAATCTAGTTTAAGATAACAAAGCACTCTTCAATCAGTTTAGAATATTCTTGATGGAGACCGACAGATTAGCCTCTGCGTGATTTATGTCCCATTTGATAGGTAGTCAATCTGTTCCATTCCATTTCTGTATCACTCTGCGATTTTGCCCCCAAACATATTCTGTCCATCTATTTTTATGTACAATTTTTAACATATGTATTTTCCAAACAATGCCCCCAATGGACATTCAAACATGTACACCTTTCCCCAAAACCTTTGTACGCAATCTTAACATAAATCTTAAAAAGGGAAATGGGACCAAATGAAATTATCCTGCCTCACTGTTGGAGCATGTCAATTCCTTCCCCAGGATGGAAAACATGGAATGGAGCACCATGTCTTAACACCCAATACACGTGCACAGAACTGCTTGCAACAGATTATGCAGCTTTCCCAGGACAATTCTTTGAATCTCTGCTGAGATCAGAAACAATGCCCAACAGACTTCAGTGCAACTTTTCCCCACTGAATCCAGCACCCCTAGTCTTCGAGAGATACATACCTGTGTCATCACGGTTTTCACAATCAAGATAAACATGGCAATTCAGAAGCCAGGGTGTCCAAGAACCTCAGAAAACCTCCAAAGAAAAGCACTTCTAGGAATGAAAAGTCCTTCTACCCCAAGTTCACGGTGGAGATTTGTCTGCTGCTGCCACCTGCTGACCATTATTTTGTACTGTTTGGTGCCTGTTCATTTTCTCGGTCTGATGTGCATTTGTTGTTGTTGTTTAGTCATTTGGTTGTATCAGACTCTTTGTGACCCCATTTACCAGAGCACGGCAGGCCCTCCTGTCTTCCACTGCCTCCTGGAGTTGGGTCAAATTCATGTTGGTAGTTTCGGTGACAGTGTCGAACAATCTCATCCTCTGCTGTCCCCTTCTCCTCTTGCCCTCACACTTTTCCAACATCAGGGTCTTTTCCAGGGAGTCTTCCCTTCTCATGAAATGACCAAAGTATTGGAGCCTCAGCTTCAGGATCTGTCCTTCCAGTGAGCACTCAAGGTTGATTTCCTTTAGAATTGATAGGTTTGATCTCCTTGCAGTCCAGGGGACTCTCAAGAGCCTCCTCCAGCACCACAATTCAAAAGCATCAATTCTTCAGCAGTCAGCTTTATTTATGGTCCAGCTCTCACTTCCATACATCACTACAGGAAAAACCATAGCTTTGACTATGCAGATTTTTGTTGGCAAGGTGATGTCTGTGCTTTTTAAGATGCTGTCTAGGTTTGTCATCACTTTCCTCCCAAGAAGCAGGCATCTTAATTTCATGACTGCTGTCACCATCTGCAGTGATCAGGGAGCCCAAGAAAGTAAAATCTGTCACTGCCTCCATATCTTCCCCTTCTATTTCCCAGGAGGTGATGGGACCAGTGGCCATGATCTTCATTTTTTTTTTTTATGTTGAGCTTCAAACCATTTTGGCGTTCTCCTCTTTCACCCTCATTAAGAGGTTCTTTAATTCTTCCTCACTTTCTGCCATCAGAGTGGTATCATCTGCATATCGGAGGTTGTTGATATTTCTTCTGGCAATCTTAATTCCGGTTTGGGATTCCTCCAATCTGGCCTTTCGTATGATGTATTCTGCATATAAGTTAAATAAGCCGGGGGACAATATACAGCCTTGTCGTACTCCTTTCCCAATTTTGAACCAGAAATTCCAAAGGCACCTTCCCTTTATTCATCAGCTACTTTAAAATAACAATTAAAATTATTCATGCTCTTTTCTATCCCCATATAACAGTTTCCTTGGCAGTCCTTCCTCTGAAACATGATGTGGCTTTCTGACCATTAAGTTGTTTTGTTTTGTTCTCTTCCTTCTTCCTTCTCCCCTAGATCTCTGTTTTGCAGGAGGATGCTATGGCAACTTCCGGCGCCACCGTGCTGCCATGGTTGGTAATAAATTTCAGCAGAAACTGCATTAGGAATGGCAGCATGTGCTGCAATCACCACAAATTGAATACTTAGGGTTTTTTGTTTGTTTGTTTTGATTTTCTTCTCACTTTTATTTTTCTAACTGTAGATATGATTGCGACAAGAACAAGCAGTTGCCAGTCTGACAGCAGTGGATTTCTAGAAGATCCTTCAGAGCCTGCACCTCTACAGGTGGGTGGTGAGTGAGAATGTGAAACCCATGAAAAATTATGGGCATTTTGGTGGTGGTGGTGGGATTGAAACTTGAGGTGAGAGGGGCAACTTTGATGAGCATGGGGACCAGTTTGCCACTAGGACCTCATGCAGGCTGCCAAAAGTCAGTGTTAAATTGCACAGTTTTCTCTGCAGATTATATAGGCTGATGTGCAGAAAAAAGTAATCTTGGTTTCCATGAGAGTTACTTACAGACGTATAGATATACAACTCCAGCCTTATTCGAATTTAGTTCCCAGTGAAATATTAGTGATTTATCTCAGTCTCAGCTTGTTCTCAATTTCGGGCAGACCCCTGATGTTTTTGCAGGCTCCAGATCCTCATTGGTTCCTCCTGCACCAGAGGAACTGCCAACTAATCACAGTGTTGCAGTTTTTGCATGAGGAGCTCTCAGCTGTCCCCCAGCAATAAAAACAACCACCACCACAACTAAAACAGAACCTTGAACATGTAAGTGGATGTCTAGGTAGTGTTGATTTTCTTTTGTTTTTTGTCCTTTTTATTTATTTATTTATTTATTTATTTATTTATTTATTTATTTATTTATTTATTGTCACAGCCTATAGCAGATTTATGTCACAGCCTATAGCAGATATTGGGGAAAATACAGTACCAGAACAGGCCACTGGATGGAGCAAGCGACTGTGCCATGACTATTTGTTAGTGAATAATACATAGCATGGTCTATGGCATGTTCTATTGGCCAGTTCTGGTAATGCATGTGAAAATAATTTTTTCTTGTTTTTTTTTCTTTTACCATTATGTATAGCATTTGCTATTATGCACAGTTTTCAGTATCCATGGTGCTTGGAACCAATCCCTAGCAGTAGGTGGTCCTACTGTACTTAGACTCTAGGCTGACTCAAGGTGTCCTTCTTCTGTTTTAGATTCAACACAATGTTATGACAATCCTTTTCTTTCTTTCTTTTTTCCCCTCCTTTCAGGGTTTGTCTCTCCCTGGAAACATGAGGCTTAGCTACAATTCATATGATTGCCAAGCATTTCTGCGACACAGGAAAGATTCATCTATGGCTAACCATGATCTTCTGCAAAATGTAACAGGCCCAGTTTCTAACATATCGGCAGCAAACCATGACCACATTCCATTGCTAGCCAGCTTGAGCAGAGAGCATAATTTTCAGGGTGAGGAAATCTTTTATTCCATAAATGAAGAGAATGATCTGTATGATGATTGCAGTGGTCAGTCGGGATGTGTTGACAGTGAAAAGGAACATGAAATGGATGAGAAGGAGATACAAGGTAGAAGAGGACAATTGGACAAGAGGGATAGTGATGTGGAGGAAGGTCTTTCATGCTGTGATGCAGCAAGTATGAATCAGGCGGCCATCAACACTCCAGAAAGAAACAGCTTCTCACATTGTAGCGAAGAGCACCGAAGTGTAGGTTCTACTCCTGCAATGGAAGGCTGCATGCTTCTTATTGGACATAGTGATGGCAACACTGGTGAAGATGAAAAGGAATGTGAAGAAGAAGAAGAAGAAATCAGAGACACTTGCCAAGATGTTCTGGAAGCTATTGCTGTAGATCTGGCCGAAGAGCCACATGATCAGAAGGCTTATGGAACGCTAGACTCTCCCATTCCACTCCCAGATGGCACAGGTGATGGTCAGAAAAATGAATTAAACACGATTGTCGGACCGGTGGGGAAAACCAAAGTCTCCCAGACTGAACACAATGTCATAGTTGTGCAGCCAGAGTCCGGTGTTATTTCAAGAAACCCTCTTCAAGATGCTAACCAAGCCTGTCACTGCTTTGGAAAGGGAGACAATGGCTCCTTGGATAGATCACCAGTGGGCCTAGAACTTGGTGAAGATGGGTGCATCCCTGGCTCTGAAATGAATGCGAGCTCATCTAAATCTGTCACTGTCCAGATGCCTTCAAGACTGATGTCGACTATGCGGAGCATCTCACTTGGCGAAACTGCCGCAAAAGGCCAGTCTGTGGACTCCACATCTAGCATCTCCCAGCGTTCTAAGGAGGAACCCGAATTTACATCAGTACCCAAGGCATCAAAGGGGGAAGACAGGCAAACGAAAGAAGCTTCTATTCAAACAGACAGGAGCCAAAGAAAGAAGGAAAATCTCCCCCTCTTCCGGTGTCTCCCTTCGTTTCACAGGCATGGCCATCTTGTGAAGGCTGCTTCCTTAGATACAGGGCTCTATTGGAAACGCAGATCTTACCCCCATGAACCTTTGAATGCCTGGTGGGCCCAGCATAGAGGTCACAGCTGCTCTTTGTGTTCCTACCACTGCTGTTTGACGTGGCCCTTCACGCCCTCGTGGAGACACCCCACGGCCTGTCATTCATCTCATGCCACCACCGAGCTACAGCTTCTGAAGACTCTCCAGCTGCTGCAGGACACGACCATGAGAAATATTTCTTCTGTGAGTATATTTTAGAAGGAACGCTAATTAGGGTTGCTAATCAGCTAGGATGTTGCTGGCTTAGACAGTAAAGCTATCTTGTGTCAAATCAAGGCAGAGGCCTGCAACACCGTTGGACTGCCTAGGACATAGGAACCCATCTGAGGTCAGAGTATTTGTTCATATAGCTTAATAAATTATTCTCCGACTCTGCAGATTGTCAGACAGCACTCTATCACATTAGCTACTGCCATGATTCAGAAAAAAACTGTCAGTCTTATTTTCACTGGGTTCCCCCCCCAGAACCCCACCAACATTCTTGTCCTCTCCCAGTTTCATACCCGTTTGCAGTCTTCTCCCTTTCCCTGTGTAGAAATTCTTCCATACCTCTGTGCTTTTTTTTCAAAATATATGCATTTTTTACACATTTATTAGTGTATGAGTTTTGTATGCATTTCCCCCATGCATGTTTGTGTGCATGTTTCAGATGTACACATTATTTATTCATGCACATTTTAAAGAGACTTGTTTTGCAAACAGTTTTTTCCCCCAGTTAAACTCAAATGTACAGATTTCAAAGGCAAGTTGCACTCCATCCTGTTGCCAGTCTTAGGAGATGTGAAATGGATATTTCGGTGGTGGTGATGGAGAACAACAGAATCTTCTTCCAGTCCACCCTGCTACTGGTTCTTTTAATTGCATATTCTTCTCATCTGGATTCTCCTGGTTTTGTCTTCTAATGTCTCAGACAGGTGTAGAGAAATAGTGAGTACAGTAGGACTCCCATATCCAAAGGGGATGGGTTCCACACCCCTTTGCAGAAAATTATACCAGACACTATTACAATGGCAATTACTCTACATAGCATGGTGTCTTACTCCCTCTAGTGGTCAGTTCTGGTAACATCATTGTTAAAATATATATATTGGGGATTGTCTTTTAATATTTTCAGACCATGGATAATTAAATCAGTAGATTATGATCCTGCAGATAAGAAAGCCCTGCTGTATTTATTTTAAGTCAAAAGCTTGCAAGCCCCTTTGCAAAGTCTATATATGTACAACTTGAATATGTATGCATTCTCTCCATGTGTCTGGACATCCTGTTTTCTTCAAGGTTTCAATGCTGTATACATGGAACATATATTATGCACATATAAGTTATGCTCACATAGGTTCTGTTCAGAGATCTGGCTGAACATACCCATAGACCAGAAGTGGAGCTGGAGGACATGATGCTTTCCCCATCCATGCATTTAGGCAGAGTGGTCGAATATACCAGATGGGTGGGATATAAACCAAACAAACAAACAAACAAACAAACAAACAAACAAACAAACAAATAAATAAATAAATAAATAAAATCCACATAGCTACACATATTACATGTAACTTATGTTTGGTGTCCACATAAAATACATTTGGTTTCTACTGGTAGTACGTACTCCATATTTCAGACTGGTGAGGTTAGTGCTTCACAAAGTGCCTCAATATCTATTTGACAAGAGTTTCCACTTGAAGCCTAGACTTGAGAGGCTCAAACACAACAGATGTATCTATCAGTGGGGGAAATGTGCATATATCTTCACTGAGATGAGATGCCAGTTGCTTTTTTTAAAAAAAACAAAAAAACATTCAATTGCATGATTTCTCTCAACTGCCCTAACACTTGTAAATGTCCACAAGATGGCAATGTTTTATTAAACACTCAGACTGTCCAAAATGCCTTTCCCCAGGACACTTCTTTATCTTAGGATGTCTGCAGTACGTTTCCCCTGCTCAATAAACTTAACATAATGCAGTCATTTTCTAGACTGCCATGTGCCAGGATTAGTAATTAAAGCATAATTACCACCTCCCCATCAGAAAACCACATGATTTGGTCTCTTTTCCTTCTCCTATGCCTTGAGCTTAAGGAAGGAAGGAAGGAAGGAAGGAAGGAAGGAAGGAAGGCTGTGCACATATGTTCCTAGCTTGCAGAGATGAACATGAGAATTCTGCTCTTCCTCTTCTCTATGAAAGTATCTGGGATAGACATAATAAGGAGTTAGTACAGAGAAAGACACACTTCCTGCATGATATCAAAATGGGAGATGATGAATGACACAATAGCTGTTGGTAATTAGAAGGAGCAGTTCATGTGGAGTGACATGATTGTTTGGGTTTATATGTGATTATATGTGTATGTGTGGAATTTCATGTACAGTATATGTATGCATAGACAGAGGTTTCACTAGACATCCATTAGTACACGGAGGTCTTCAAGTTGATTCTGCTCAAGGATGTGGACTTCCTGGGGTGGGGGCAGGAATTCTGAACAGTTTGCTTGAGAAGTAGACACTCAGATGTGGATACAAAGTAAATCATTGCCTCTTTTTGATCTTGTATTTAGTGCACGGTCCATGAAATTGAAATTATGAAAAATTCATGTCAAAAGTTTCGAGAACGACTGGATGAGATTGAACAGCACCTAACAGAGCAAGAAACTCTCTTCTCCAGTGCAATGTCAAAGGAAGGGCGGTAAGAGCGCCACAGTTGGTATTTCATAAAACAACTTGACATTGGTTGCACAGTAATGTGTGCCATAGTGCAAGCAGAAGGTGGCACTAGTAAACCACTTCTAGTATTTTATATCTAGGAAATACTCCTAAGTCTGAATTAACTTGATAACACCCAATTACATTTATTAATGTGTGCCACAAGATGTGTATGCACATTGCCTCTTCTTATGTATTGAAATACCTAGTTTATATACATGTTAGATGGCAGCATTTGAAACAAAATCTGTTCCAAACAAAACAATGTCAGTTCCATAGGCCTGTCCTGTCCTTCTTCCCATCTACCTATTACAGAGCTGCCACCACAACATCACGGTTTTGCACTAATCACTGGTGCACCAGGGTGGAAAAACACAGTGGTTTATCCTGGGGCCCTATAGCCCTAGCCTAAGCCATATTGCTGCTTGAGGCAAAAGAAAAGATGATTCCACATACATAGCCCACCTAGAGGGAAATTTACTCCAGCGCTTGAGATGCTACTATTCCCTGCTGCACCTGAGCTACACAGCTTGTTTAGGGAACATGAAAATAGACAGTGGAATGGCTGGAAGATGCTCAGGAGGTGGAAAACTGGGGGAGGGGTTATTGATGGAGCTGTCCTTCAACATCTGCTGCCTGAGGCAATGGCCTGTTTTGTCAGAGATCTTTCAGGAAACCAGAGATCTGTTCAGGAAAATTGGAGATATTAAAGGAACATTTTGTGCAAAAATAGACATAATAAAGGACAAAAATGGGAGGGACCTCAAAGAAGCAGAAGACATCAAGAGGTGGCAAGAATACACAAAGAAATTATACCAGGAAGATTTGGATATCCCAGACAACTGGATAATGTGGTTGCTGGCCTTGAGCCAGATATCCTGGAGAATGAAGTCATGTAGGCATTAGAAAGCCTGGCTAACAACAAGGCCAGTGGAGGTGATGGCATTCCAGTGGAACTATTTAAAATCTTAAAAGATGATCCTGTTAAGGTGCTACATTCAATATGCCAGCAAGTTTGGAAAACTCAACGGTGGCCAGAGGACTGGAAAAGATCAGTCTACATCCCAATCCCAAAGAAGGGCAGTGCCAAAGAATGCTCCAACTACCGTACAATTGCACTCATTTCACATGCTAGCAAGGTTATGCTCAAAATCCTCCAAGGTAGGCTTCAGCAGCATGTGGACCGAGAACTCCCAGAAGTACAAGCTGGATTTCGAAGGGGCAGAAGAACTAGAGATGAAATTGCTAACATTCGCTGGATTATGGAGAAAGCCAGAGAGTTCCAGAAAAACATCTACTTCTGCTTCATTATGCAAAAGCCTTTGACTGTGTGGACCACAAGAAACTATGGCAAGTTCTTAAAGAAATGGGAGTGCCTGACCACCTTGTCTATCTCCTGAGAAACCTATATGTGGCACAGGAAGCAACAGTAGAACTGGATATAGAAACACTGGTTCAAAATTGGGAAAGGAATACGACAAAGCTGTATATTGTCCCCCGGCTTATTTAACTTATATGCAGAATACATCATGTGAAAGGCTGGACTGGACAAATCCCAAACCGGAATTAAGATTGCCGGAAGAAATATCAACAACCTCCGATATGCAGATGATACCACTCTGATGACAGAAAGTGAGGCGGAATTAAGGAACCTCGTAATGAGGGTGAAAGAGGAGATTGCAAGACGAGATTATGGCCACTGGTCCCATCACCTCCTGGCAAATAGAAGGGGGAGATATGGAGGTAGTGACAGATTTTATTTTTTTGGGCTCCATGATCACTGCAGATGGTGACAGCAGCCCCGAAATTAAAAGATGCTTGCTTCTTGGGAGGAAAGTGATGACAAACCTCAACAGCATCTTAAAAAGCACAGACATCACCTTGTCAACAAAAGTCCGAATAGTCAAAGCTATGGTTTTTCCTGTAGTGATGTACAGAAGCGAGAGCTGGACCGTAAAGAAAGTTGACCACTGAAGAATTGATGCTTTTAAATTGTGGTGCTGGAGGAGGCTCTTGAGAGTCCCCAGGACTGCAAGGAGAACAAACCTATCCATACTAAAAGAAATCACCCCTAAGTGCTCCCTGGAAGGACAGATCCTGAAGCTGAGGCTCCAATATTTTGGCCATCTCATGAGAAGAGAAATCTCCCTGGAAAAGACCCTGATGTTGGGAAAGTGCGAAGGCAAAAGGATAAGGGGACGACAGAAGATGAGATGACATGACAATGTCAGCAAAGCTACTAACATGAATTTGACCCAACTCCGGGAGGCAGTGGAAGACAGGAGGGCCTGGCGTGCTCTGGTCCATGGGGTCACAAAGAGTCAGACACGACTAAACGACTAAAGAACAACAACAACAAAGAATCAGTTACCAGAATGTTCATGTTGTATTCCTAAAACAGTTCTCTGGACCAGACTCTGGACCAGATTACAGATAACTATGTGAATTTAACTGTGTGTCCAGCCAGTTACTTAAAGGAATTTCATTTGTAACACAGTTCTTTTATTTGTAAAACACATTTCGATTACAAAACCTGGGAAATCATTACTGAGGGTTGCGTTTTTCATTTGTTACTCTGCTGTTGACCACAGAGAGGAAAGAAGGCGATTACAGGTCTTGCGGCAAGCTGTACGTCGAGAGGTGGCTGAACTGGAATGCCAGTTGCAGGATCGTGCTCGCCAGGTTAGGGAGGGCATGCTAATGGTACGTTTTTGTAAGATATCTTGCCATGAATGTTGGTGTACTCCATAGGGAGGGCCTGCCTGTGGAAATTGTCGGGAAACCTCAGTTGATCCAAAACGTGATTGCCAGGTGGCTGACTGCAGCCATGGTCACATGAGGGAAATGTTATGTAGTTATCCACCAGTTATGTCACTAATTTTTTTTCCTGGTCACAAGATGCAGAGTGAAGACCAAGACATTTCCCCAGATATTAGTGTAACTGCAGAATAGTTCCCCACTGCCAAGAGGGTTGTGTTGTTTTGTATCTTTGTTGTACTGGTGCATTCCTTACCGGAATTGCCTGTATGCATGATCTGCCCTACTTCTTTTCAGAATCGAAGCCAGTAAGGTAACCGCCACTACTGCAGCGCGTACATTATGTTTTTTTAATCTTTTGATACATTGGTAAAAGAGTGTCATGCCCCCGCCCCCATCATTACATTACTGGCAAGTATTTTTTTTCTTTCCTGTAGGAAGGTGCATTGAAATGTTTGTATGCCAATGACCCCCGGGGGGGGGGGAGTGATCGCAGTACTGCTGCATGGATATTCCAAGTTCATTGTATGCAATGCATTTCTGCAGGAGCAGCTGGTGCAACAGAGGGACACTTTCCTAAACACGAACCCCTTCCTGATCAATGTTCCCTCTAATTTCCACTCCATGTGTGATTCCCCCCCTCCCCACCCCCCACCCCCGTGTGGGGCTCCATTGTGACAGGAACGAAAGGGGTTGGAAACAATAGCTGTGAGTGAACGGGCAAGGAGGAAAGTTGTGCAGAGCAGGGTGGAGTCAAGTGCATTCGCACAGTCATGCACTTTAGGAGACTTGTTTCTGATATATTGATGCATTTTTTAAAATACTATATATAAATCAAGGGGATAAATTGCCCTTCGAAGCAAGAGAGAAACTCCTTTTAGAGTACTTCTAAAAGTTCTGGGATATTCATCCTAGGATTTAAACTACATAACGGTTCAGCACAACAGAGGTATGGAAAGTATTGGAAGAACTAGAAAACATTTTCCCTTGTGTGACCAGGGCCTGAGGCTAGTCACAGGGGTCACATAACCCTCCTGCTGCAGCAGCTCCACTGGCTGACAGGTTTCCAGACAGAATTCAAAGTGGCATTTCTAACCATTGAAGCCCTCAACAGCTTGGGCCCGAGCTATCTCAAGGGCCACATCTCCCTCTATGAGCCTGTTTGGGTGTTAAGATCATCAGGAGAGACCTTTTTTTCTGTCCCGCCACTTCACAGGTACATTTGATGGGGACACAAGAGACAGGGCCTTCTCTGTTACTGCTCCCAGACTGTGGAACTTCCTTCTATGGGAGGCCAGGCTGCCCTACCTTTGCTGTCCTTCCACAAGCAGGCAAAGACCTTTCTCTTCAGGCAAGCTTTCCCTGAATGACTGGCTCCTGAGTGGGGTTTTAAAATGGATTGTTGTACCTTAGGGCTTTGGATGTGTTTTGGTGTTGCTTTTGTTAATGTTGTTTAGTGCAGTATTTGTTTGATCCTTTTTAGTATTTGTATGCTCATGGTTGTTAGCTTTAAATACTGTCTTTTTATCTGATGTAAGCTGCCTTGAGTCTTTTTTTAAGGAGAAAGGTGGGGTAGAAACATTTTAAATAAATAAAAATTGAATTTTTCAATAACCTTTGAGGGACTAGAACAGTTGGAAATGCAGTTAGCATGCTTTGGCTACCAGAAGCCTTCACCACTAGCTGTGCTGGCCAGGATTCTGGGAGTTGTAGTTCAAGAACATCTGGGGACCCAAGGTTGGGAACCATTGGGCTAGATGGAAGGCACGAGCAAAGACGGGAAATGTTACTCTTCTGGAGTACAACTCCCAGAATACTCCAGGCAGCATGGCCGATGGGATATTCTGAAAGTTCTAATCCAAAAAGTAACTTATCTGGGCAGGAACTCATCCTTTAACCGTATGTTTTCGTTCTTGTTGAACACTCCTCTATTCATTTTGCAGCATCTGGATCAACTGTTGGATGAACAGGCTTGTTTGTGTTCAGCGCTTGGAATTTCTGACTGGAGAGAAGAACGAGACACCAAGGATGGGGCTGTTCTCCCAGACCCTCCTCCTGCTTCTTTGTTGAACCAAGCCAGTTGTTCAAAGGCTGCCCACACCAGGCGGGCTCCAAGCAGGAGTGCACTGGTCCCACCCAGCTCTGGTTCCTCCTTACTCAGAGAACCTGAGTTACCGGCTTCAGTTGTAGCAACGAATCAGACCAGCTCTGCATCTAGCCCTGAGGAATTCCACACCAGTAAAAAAGAATGCAAATCTCCTTCTCAGCCAAAAATAGACTTCAAGGCCTTTATACAGAATGTAAGAATTAATATGCATCTGGTTCCTACAGCTGAGACAGTACATCTGGTCCTCTTTGACAGTAAAACCTTTAAGCTTTTCAGCTTGCCTGGCAGGGTCTACAGTGGGCCAACAGAGATGAACCTCAGTTCTGTGGCAGCCATTCTGAATGTATTCATGCAGTAGCTTCTAACTTCTTCTGAAGCAATAGCTGCTAAGAGAATCTGTCTGATGGTATGCTACTGTAAACCTAGCAAAATTTGGGGTTGTGGTAATATGCCACACCTTCCAGTTGAGCAACCTCTTATTTTCAGATAAAAGGACACAAGGGAAATGGAAATATCCCACCATCCAATTGCAAATAAATGTACTTCAGGTACACCCAACAATGCAGCAACTCAGGGTAGACGTAGAGCATGTCTATTCATAGAATTATAGTAATAAACTCAGTAATCCATATGGTTCAATTCCAGCTCTGCAGTTCCAAGATGATGTTGATGATTAATCTCATAGAATGGAGATGTAGCTGTTAAAATCTTTCCAAACAGAAGCAACTCTGCAATGCAGATCCCCCCTTGTGTATGCTTTACTCTTAACCCATTGCCTTACAATGTTGAGCTACCAGCTGGAGATAATGATCCATGCTCATATCTGCAGGCATGTGGGGGAGGTCAAAGGGGAGGAATCTTATCAAATTGCCTGACACTTAGAAGTGTTGCAAAGGCTTCTAGAAGACACTTTCTCCCCACTCAGACTATCAGAACAGACCTTAGTAGAGTCTGGGAACCAGCAGAAGCTGCAGCTGGCTTTTTGTTAACAGCCATCTTTCCTCTCCCTTCTACCCTCTGGGGTGTTTTCCAGGTTTCAATGGGTGTGCTGTATTTTTATAACATCTTGCCTATTAACATCTAACTGCTTTCATTTTTGTCTTCTTATCAGCTGAAGAGGTCTTTCCGAAACTCTTTCAGTAATGACACAGGAGAAGGAAGAGACTGATGGTATTTCCATGTTTTTGCTGAAGCATCGTGCAGAACTGGAGCTAAGATGGTTTTTTATTTGCGTGATAATTATTCATAAACCTCAAAACCCCTGAGTAAAGGGTTGGATTACTGAGCTATTAGAGGCAGGAGTCAAGAACTGGGCACCGGCTGAAAAAACTGTCGTGAGATAAAGCCCTTACGGAAGCTAGGCACAAATAGTTATTTTGTTGATATGACCTTTTCAAATCCCATTCCATATAGTACTCACGCAGTACTGACACTCAAGTAATGTTAGTGCTGCCTCCTGCAATGAGGGTCTCCAGGAGGCAGCACAGTCTGGCTCTTGAATATCCTGATGTTAACCAACACCTGCTTGTAGGAATTAAAAACACAGAAAACTCAAATTTTCCCAGCTGCATTACAGAAATCTAGCTCTCTCTCTCTCTCTCTGTGGGGATTGTTGTTCTTAATTTGGTAACGTTAACTGAGACCTTAAAAATGTTTTCCCTTCCTGAATATGTTTCGCAGATCCTTTGGAAAAATGCTGTATGTGTTTTACAGTTCTTATTTTAAGATTAAGAAGTCTCCTGGCACTGACATCAAATGAAGTTAAAAATATAGAGGGAGGGACTGCCTCCCCCAAAAGATCTGCTTTAATGCCATCCAATACTTTCCCAAAATCTTGAGTTTCCTTTTACGCCTCATTTTAGCTTGTGCCTTCTTGTTTAGCTTCTTTGGAAATCAAACATATCAGACATGCTTGATACCTTCTTTGAAATCAAATGTGCCTAAATTCTTATCAGGTACCTAGAAGTTGAATTTGATAACTCACTTGTTGCTGTTCTGAAACAGTTCAGTAACACATTGTCCCCAAGGCCCCGGCTGCCACTCAGGATTAATGCCAGGGCCATCTTTCAACTGGTCACTTACATGACGAAATCTGTTTAGGCACAATCATTTGAGATGTCACTTTTTTAAACTCCAGAAACCTACTTGGGTACCCATCTTCAAACCTCCAGCCCAGGAAGGAGGCAAAACAGTTTTCTGAAGTCATGGGGTTTTGAGTTACTTGCCATACACTGCTTCTTAATACTGCAATACAGGGATGTGAATATTCACTAAATGCTTCATTCTCACAGGTGTAAGTGCCTTGACTGGACAGATACTGCAATGAGGAATTTTGAAGCCAGGCAAGATTCCTCCCCACCAGTCAGAGAGCAAGATATAAAGAATTCCTGCCTCCCCGCATCAAGTCTTCTGCAATGTCCACAAAATATCTCTGTGACAATCTGCACAAAACAGGTGGCTTTTCCTGTTATGAAGCTAAGCATGCAGCAAGCATTAAAGGACTTGGCTAATTGTTTTACAAGACACAAACAAGCTGGATGCTTCTAATTTTTAAAAATCCAACGAGGAAGCAGTTTGTTGATGGTGGCAGAAAATGCCTCTGGCTTGAAAGAAGAAGAAGAAATTGGTTATTCATCATCCTCAGCTGCAAAGAGAAGAGAAGCAAGGAATTCCAACCTTGTTGCTATTCTACTATTTTCCACCAACAAGTGTATGTAGCCATTATAGTCATGAAAAACCTGATATGAGACATTTGTGCATATCTTCTGTGTTTGGATCCAGTCAGAAGAATACCTTAACAATTCCCCCTGCTCTTCCCACCACCACCACAACTACAATCCATATGCAGAAAACTGTTTCTATGCCACCTCTACATCCGGCACTGGACTATGGCAACATATCAAGTCCTCAAAATAAGGACACTGTTATGTGGTAGCTATATAAACTTTTTCCCTGTGGTGAATTTCATTCATAATAAATAATAGTGTGTCACTTAAAGTTGACTTTATAATTTAACAGATCATAGATACCTAAGGTACAATCTGTGAGAGGCCTCCATGCATGCCATTGTTGAAGTTATATATATTCCTGTTCAGTTAAGAGAGGGGGGTGTATGATGTAAGTGATATATCTAGCCTGGACTATAGGCCATGCTGGCTGGTCCAATAACATTTGGAGGCCCACCTCTGGCACAATGGAACTATAACTGAACACATACTTACAGATCTATAAATACATTCCTCTTCAAACAGTCATTTAGAAATGTATTGTATATGTGGCAGGGTGAGAAACAGCATTATTTGGCTATGCAACTGTAAGTAGGAGAAAGCCAGCTTTTAATTATTTTAGCAATAAAGCCTCTGAGCAATGGAACAAAAGTTCTCCCTGGTGTCTCCCTCGTTTCATTTGATATCCCAGATCAAATCACTGATTTTTTTTCTGAAACATATCTCTCCCTTCATTTCAGAAAGATGTGGTCATCATTTAATGGCATACATCTTTTGATACTGATTAAGACACTCTTACATTCAGTTCATCCCATGCATTATATCCCATGCATTATATGCATTTTTGTGCACATTAATCAAAAGTATCCATTTAGACGCACCTTTCCATAAGACGCACCAATTTTTTAGGAGAAGAAAACAGGAAAATATAATCTGTTTTCTTCACACCATAAGACGCATAGACTTTCCACCCACCCTGTTTTGTGGGGAAAAAGTGTGTCTTATGGTGCGAAAAATACGGTATATTGATTTTAATTGGAAAGCTCTCTAGCAGGTTTTAGGGAACATCAAAGGATAGTGGAATTTGAGGTCTTGTATTGGTTTGACAGTGTGAAGTGTGCTTTATAACGCTAATGGAATAAACTCTCACTAGATGCAGCAGTCCCTTGAGCCTTTCATCACATCACCCATTGCCCTAAAGCAGGGGTCGGCAACCTTGGAGTATTTTCTAGTCCTTGGGTCTACTAGATGTCATAAGAGGCCTAAAATGCAAATATGTGAGAAAGATGTTTCTATTTCTGATTTTGTTTCTGGTTTTATTTTTTGTTTGTTGATGAGACATTGCACCCCATTTCACAACAAAGATGGTGTTCCTGATGAATTTGAGAGGTAAGAAAATTCTCTCTCTTGGTTTTTCAGCTGGAAGGTAGCAAGGGGTTTGTGAGCGAGGAGCTTTTAAAAAATGGAGGTCAGAGCAGTCATATGAGCAACACATGAGTTGCACTTTGCCCACTCCTGCCCTAAAACATTGCACAATGTGACATGAATAGTAAGGAAGGCTTCAAGCACAGAAATCTGCTGACAGAAATGGTAATGATTATACATGGGCTTTGGATTAGACTTATCTAATCTGAACTGGTAGAGATAGCAAATATCATAAAATGAGTATGCCAATGCTTCTGTATTTTGAAAAATGAGTCCACGATTATTTATTTTATTTATATATTGTATTTATATCCCACCTATCTAGTCAATTACGACCACTCTAGGCGGTCATAAGTTGACATCCCATTCATTATTAAAGCAAGATCCCACACAAGACCGAGCCTCTGGTACAGGTCTGTTTGTTGTCTTCTCTTGGCTCTGACAGTTTAAAAGTGAAGAAAACCCCATTACAGCATGACCATACTTTTATAGTGCTTCTGGTGACAGTCATTTACACAGCTAAGTGTAAAGGGAAAAGAGTGACTTATAGCATATGATGCTATGGAAGTTAACAGAGCTGCTAACATTGTCTCGAGCCTATCCTTAGTGATGTAACTGAAATGTAACAAGTGGTAGCTTTCCCCCCATCCTTGCATTACCATTTTGGGTAATCTTAGCATCACTTTTTGAACTTCTGTTTGTACAGGTTTGAATAATTTGAAGACAGGGTGCTCTTGCCAGAAAAGGAGGTTGACAACCTAAAGCAAAAGAGAAAGAGGAGCATAGAGAGCTGAGAGGGAGACCAGAAGAGGTGTAGGTGAAGGAAATAATTCTACCCTCTTCAACTTGACAGGTGAATGATGGGGCTTGCAGTCCAACACATTTAAGAAGGACTAGCTTGGATAAATCCTTTCTAAATTAGGGGTATCTAATGGCTGACATGCACAGAATGAAATGTTCCAGTTGTATACTGCACAATGCATACAATTGGACATGGAACTTAAGAAGTATGAATCAAGGTAAACTGGAAACCATAAAGCAAAGAATGGGATGTTTAAACATTGCTTGGTATCAGTGAACTAAAGTAGACTGGGATGGAATATGTTCAGTCAGACAACTGCAAAGTATTCTACTCTGAAAATGACAACTCTAGAATGCAGAGTAGAATACTGCAAAGTATTCTCCTCTGGAAATAAAAAATCTAGAAGAAACAGAGTGGCTCTAATTGAGGCAAGATGTAGCACAGGCAATTAAGGACTATAATGCAAGGTCTGACCAAATGATTTCAACTGAACTCCATGGGAAATATATTAAGATAAAGATCTTCCAAGTCTAGGCTCGAACTACAGATTCTAAAGAAGATGAAATTAAAAGGGGTGTTTTCTTTTTGCAAGCATCCAGGAGGAAATTGACCACACACCAAAATCATAAGTGGCAGAACACAAAGGTAGGAAACAAATCAGAACCAAATGTTTGTGGGGAATTTGGCCTAGGGAAGAGAAAGGAACCAGTATAATGACTCTGAGTTATACACAGCCAACAAACTGTTTATTGCAAATACATGCTTCAAGCAACCAAACATATGGCTGTACATGTGGACAGTCACCAGACAATCAATACAGAAATCAAATAGATTCTGTAATTAAAAGAAGAAGATGGAGAAGCTATACTGTCTCTGCCAAAATATAACTAGGAGCATATTGCAATATTGCTCATGAACTGTTAATATCCAGTTTTAGAGTAAAGCTGAAAAAGGGCACTAAAAGAATTGCAGTACAAAAATATAATTTAAACAACATTCCTGATTAATTTTGAGTCCACATAAGAAGTAGATTTGCACAACTAAACTCAACTGACTGTGAACCAGAACTGTGGAGTGAAAGCAGAGATATTATAAGAAAAGAATGCAAATATACAATTTCTGTAATAAAAATAAAAGAAAAACCTAGTTGGATGGTAGAAGAAACACTTAAGAGAAAGCTATTATGAGTTCGAGAAAGTGAAGTGAAAGCTGCTCTGAATTCACTAGGAAGAAATAAATCACCAGGAGTAGATGGAACTGCAACAGAACTATTTCAATTCACAGATATTTTGAATTTGTCAAAATCCTAACAAGAATATGCCAACAAATATGGAAAACAAAACAATGGCACACAGATTTGAAATTTCCATTCTAAATCAATTTACATTCTAAACCATAACAAAGGAGATGCCAAGGAGTGCAGTAACTATAGGACCATTGCTTTAACTTCCCGTGGAAGCAAAGTAATGCTCAAGATTTTGCAACACCTTGTATGGAGGAAAAATGCCTGATGTTCCAGCTGGATCCTGAAAAAGAAGAGGAACTTGCAATCATATTGCAAATATCTACTGGTTACTGGAGCACACCAAAGAATTTCAGAAGAAGATCAGTCTATACTTTTGGACTCAAGCAAAATCTTTGACTGTGTGGATCACAGGAAACTATGGGTTGTTGTGAAAGAAATGGTTTGCCTCAACACTTGATTGTTCTGGTGCACAACTTTTATTGTGGACAAGAAACTACCATTAGGACAAAATATGGAGTGACAGAATGGTTTCATATAGGCAAAGGTGTCAGATAAGGATGCATTTTATCTCCTTATCTGTTCAGTCTGTACACAGAACATATCGTATGGAAAACTAGACTAGATGCAGATGAAGAAGTGAAAATTGCTGGAAGAAACATCAATAATTTAAAATATGCAGATAATACTATATTTCTGGCAGAAAGCCCCAATGACTTGAACTGACGTTTAGTGAAAGTAAAAGAAGAAAGTGCCAAAGCAAGACTGCAGTTGAACATAAAGAAGACAAAACCCATGACTACAGAACTAAAAAATGTCAATGTTGACAATGAAGAAATTAAAATTGGTATTTTGTATACCTTGGTTCCATCATAAATCCAAATGGAGACTGCAGCAGGGAAATCAGAAAACTGAGACTTGGAAGGCCAGCAATGAAGGAATGATAAAATCATTAAGTGTAAGGATGTGTTATTGGAAACCAAGGTCAAGATCATCCAGACTCTCATATTCCTGATCACCATGTATGGGTGTGAAAGCTCAACAGTAAAGAAAGCTGGCAGGAAAAAGAATTCTTTGATCTCTTTGAAATATGGTGTGGGATGAGAGCTTTGTAGATGACCTGGACTGCTAGAAAGATGAACAAATGGGTCCTAGATCAAATCAAGTCTGAATTATCTCTGGAAGCAAGAACAATGAAACTGAGACTGTCCTGCTTTGGTCCCAGCATTAGAAGGCAAGAAGATTCTCTGGAACAGACAATAATGCTGGAAAAGTATGAAGACAGCAAGAAAATGGGAAGACCACATACAAGTTGGATTGATTCCATAAAGGAAGCCACAGGCTTAAGGTTGCAAGAGCTGAGCAGGGCTGTTGATGACAAGACATTTTGGAGATTACTCATTCAGAGAGTCACCATAAGCCGAGGGCAACTTGGTGGCATATAACAACCGCTTGGGCAAAGAGTTCAAAGTATGGGAAGGAAAAAAGAGAAGTGGGCTACTTGTCTTATCCTAATCCTCAGAGTAAGGCTCAAAGTACTGAGGTGGCCTTCATTTATGAGCCTCCAGGGTTAGCAGGTAATAATCTCAAATGATGTGTCCATGTCTTCTTCAAATCATCTACCTTTAAAAAAATTTTCACCTGCTCTCTCTCTCTCTCTCTCCCACTCTCTTTGTTTGAGGAATGGCAACATACACAGCTCCTAATAATCTCAAGGTTTCTGCCCAATATCTTATCACTTTCACAACTTGTGCGTTTAGTAGCCTTCACTTTTTATTAGATGGCTCTGAAAGACAAACAGCAACCACTCATAATATCACTTTGTATCTGTTATGTTATAGATCATATTTTTCTGGAACAAATGGAAACAGATGTGTGACCACTGATTAAATTAAATAGTATGGGGAGTGCGCTGCGCATAAAGTCTGATTCATGCCCATTGTCAAGGACAGATACTGAGAGCAAGGAAGATGTGAAAATCAATAACTACCTCATGTCACCAAGCACATGCTGAGAAGATGTAAAATTGCATCCTCACATTATCGAGAAAGGCAACATGGTCTTCTTGACCTATGGTCTTCTTGACCTATTTTATATCCATTCAGCTCTGATAACATATGACCTGATAAGATTTAAAATTTCATATTCAATGTATTTCCTGGTGTACAATCATCTCCTTCTCTAGTAAAATTTCAGTCAGGTTTCATTCTTGGTTGTAGCCTTCTCTTAATATGTTATTGTATTTGAAATAAAAGCCTATTCATTCCCTCTTTACCCCACCCCCATACATTTTACACTATATTGAATTTCATGCTGTACAAAACCCTTTTATTCTTTTAGAGTGCTCTCTCTGTCTGTATCTCTCTTTTTGATTCATTCTAACTACATTTTTGTATTATGAGCAACCTTACATACCTGAATG